TCAGTACAATGAATGTGTTGCTATTAAATTAGTGCATCAGACCCTCTCGTATGTCACTGCCCTCCACCTCTGCACCTTGTGCCACTGCTACCACAGGCTCTGCTGCTGCTGCTACTGCTGCTGCTGCTGCATCATCCATTCATCATCATAGGCCTCTCCATGACATTTGTTGCACAGATAGGTGTAGGTTTCCTCAGACGTCCTGAAGTTCTGCACCCACTGAGTGTGTGTGAAAGATGGAATAATCACACCCCACCACTCGGTAGCTCGGTTGAACGTCCAAACACAAGGTCTGCGGCGGCGACTTTGCAAATGGTATAACTTCTGAAATACACATAAAAAAGCATACATATTTTAATACGTAAAAGTGGTAGCTAAAATTAATTAAATACTTGAAACACTGGTCGTATAGTGAGCGTGACCCTTAACACATTGCTAGTTAGCGAACGTTAGCTTACCAAGTAGCGTTGTCGTTTTGTAGTGATCGTTTTGTCGTCCCTGCTGCGTTGTATGATTGCCCAAACTCTCCTGTTAGCTTCTTCTGTATTTCGTAGGGATGTAACGATACCAAAAACTCAGGGTACGATAATATCGCGATTAAAAAGTCCACGGTACGATATTTATCGCGATATTGAAAAATAAAGAAGAAAATAAATTGTGTCGCCAGAACGCCGACACCTCCTCATCTCCACCGCTCCCATGTTTTGTTTTGTGTTGCCATAAATTAGTCTCTCTGCGTTGGTGCGCTGGGCGAATGCTAATGCTAATAATGCTAATGCGAGGATAATACAATGGCGGCTCTACAAAACATTTCAGAGTTGTACGAGGCGTGGTTTGCAATTCGCCCAGCCAACCAGAACTGGGGCACTTTTTTCCCCCAGGAAAGTACGATCTCTCAGCAGGCACTAAAAATGGGGGTAAAAGTTCCCGAGATTAAGTGCTCTTTTTGGTGTGAACGCGACATAAGAGCCGCGTTCACACCAAGTACTTTCCTGTACTTAGTTCCGGCACTAAGAGCCCCGGCGCTTTTAACCCCAGGGCACTTAGTACAGATCGCGTTCACACCGGAGTACTTTTCCCTGAGGGAAGATTACGCAAATGAGCCGCTGACGTCACTTCTTCTTCTTCTGCTTTGGCTTTACTGGCAGGCCACAAACCACTTCACGGCGAGTACAGTAGGTGGCGGTAAGCACCTTAAATTTGTTTGCAATCCGCTAGAAAACAAGAGAAGGAGAAGAAGAAAAACTTCCCGCGTATACTGTCTGTTGTTTACCTTCCGACCTCAGACATGATGGAGATGGAGTCGACTGAAGTTGTGCTGTTTGTGCTCATGTTATACAGCTTTGTAACTTCGTTAATGCGGCCTGAGCCTATTAGGCGTCCGACACAAATCCGGAGCCGCCACACGTCGAATGCTATAATCGCAAAGTTTCTTCAGCATCAAAGGCAGTTCAAAAGCCTTAGGAAAAGGATTGGCCGACGGAAAGCACACATGATTGCCATGTTTCACCGTAGGATGGCTGATGACGATAAGCAAGATACAGGATCTATTTAATCGCCATGTCAGTTTTCTTTATTGCACTCTCAAGACATAACATTTAGTTTAGTTTAGTTTATTTTATTTTTTTCGAGCGTGTAAAACCAAAGAAAATACAAATGAAACAAAAGGTGATACAGACATGATACAGTACTATACAAATGAATGCAATAACAAAACGAAACATTTAATTAATAATTGAATAATCTGTAGTATCATTGTCTGATATCAATAAACAATAAACAACAAAGCTTTAGCTAATTACACGTCCGAAAAGGGGTCGGAAGAAGTTTACACTTATTTAATCCGACCCCTTCTCCCTTATTTATTTTTTATTATTTTTTATTTTTTTTACATCTTAATATATGTTAACATACAATATAAACTTATACTTATAATCATGAATAATTTATATAATCATTCATATAATATATACAGGCAAGTTAGGACAATGGTCTCTATATATTTATATATATACATATATTATATACATTATATACAAATTCATAAATAAAATACAAAACAAGAATATAAACAGTTATGGTTTAGCAGTTTCATCTATCATGTACCTTGTGAGAATTGAGTCTTTATACCTCTTTTTGAATAGTTTTATGTTTGGACATCCCTTTAAATAGAAATATTTTAAATGTAACTAAAGTGTCAGTTGTACATGTCAGTAAACATTGTCAATATAAAATAAAGTGTCAGTTGTACTATATAATAACAGTAATAACAATATAAAATAAACTGTCCACAGGGATAGGGAGTCTCAGCAGCAAACCCACCTTAATGATATATATATAGATATATCTTCCTGAGACCCACTGCATCCGTCTGCCATAAACACTATGGAAACATACATGTTAGTTTTGGCCCATAGTGGACTCCATGTTGTGTTGTGTGAAATGGGGGGGAATTAAAAGTTTAGGTCAAATAATATTTAAAATTATATAAATTGTCATATTTGTGTATGTGCCGCTGCCATTCCCCCACAAGGTTGCAACATTGATGATAAATAAATGACAAATACAGCTTTGCCAGTTTATAACCGATGAAACATGATGGTATCAGAATAATCACTTACATGTGATGTATAGGATGCTACACAGGTCACAAAAGATAAAGTGTCAGGAGAAATAAGCAATATACAGGATCTGTTTAATCGCCATGTCGGTTTTCTTTATTGCACTCTCAAGACATAACATTAAATAGAACAATTTTAAATGTAAATAAAGTGTCAGTTGTACATGTCAGTAAACATTATATATAAAATAAAGTGATAACAGTAATAACAATATAAAATAAACTGTCCCAGGTGTAGGGATAGTCTCAGCAGCATAATTACCTGATTGCAGCCACCTGGGTTACTTGGCTCAACCCAATAACTTTATATAAGTTTACTTTAAACCACACTTAAAATAATAATATAATTATACATATGTACATGTCTACAGTATAGCAACTAATACATGTTTTAAATAAATAAACATTCAAATGTGAAAGACACCTTCAATGAATATTTAAAACTTACACAAAATCAGATTCTTGTAAAAATTAGAGTACATGCATTGTTCTAGCTAAGATATATATACATATATCGTAGCTCTTAGCTTGCTTAACATGCTTGCTTAACATGCTCGTTCAGTTAGCATGTATGCTAACTGGACATGCTCGCTCAGTTAGCATACACATATATATATATATTATTTATGTATTCCATTCCTTTAAATTGAATATTTAAAATACACATTAGCTAAATAAACACAATTACACTGCGCTAAACAGCCAAATCGACAAACAACCGAGAACCTAAATAGTATGTCATTATATCTAAAACCACAAGACGTTAATTACCTGTACTCGGTGCGCCATATTGTCTGTTGTCTGTTCTCTGTAAACCTCCATGTCTCATTAAATATCCTTGCGTCAGCTTCTCACGTGTTGGGCGCGCACTCTTCTGACCATATTTGGAAGTACAACTTCCTACAACTTCCTACAGGTTCAACCTCCACCGTCTGGCTGTGGCTGCAGCTGGACCCTTCTCTCAGAGTCCGGCGCACTTCCTGGGGGCTTGCCAAGTACACGATCGCTTCCGTGGTACACTTGCTTGGTAGCACATGTCTTCCGAGCGTCTTGCTTCAGAAGCGAGGCAAGAATACTTCCTAGCCTCGGTAAACGAAGAATGGAACAGGCGAGCAAGTGTTCCATTGTGTCACACAAACGTGTGACGCACACACGTTGGTGTGCGTCATATGAGAGGCCCCACCTTACATTTTCCGCCACAGATTTGGGGAAATTGGTCCGTGCGCAAAGCATTGTGGGGATTTTAAGACCGCGGAGTCTACACATGTGCAGCCTCGACATTTCTCCAAACGAAGTACGCCAGGCTCGGTAGAATGCTGGACATTGGAAAAGTACTTTGGCGGCACTCGATGACGTAGTATGCTTGAAATAGTGGCTCTGGAGCAGCTTTACTCGAGATTGAGAAACACCCCGTTATGGTGTTTGAGTTGTGTCGCATTGAAGATGACGTCACAGCAGTTTTACGCAGCGTCGCTCCGCCCGTCGAACAGCCGAACTACCCCAGTTACTAAACTGTAATGGAAACGCAGCTTAAAGTGAGCCTGGCCTAACAAGGCCAAACTAAACTGTGCTAAGCCGTGTTAGGTCCTGCAGTGGAAAAGCGCCATTAGTCATCCAAAACCCTGCTTTACAGGACCCTGAGCAAATAACATGAATCTCACAGTGCACTTACAGGCACTCACACACTCTCTAATCTGTCAGTGTGCTGGCCGGGCTATTTTTTAGGGAACCATAATTCATTATTTGTTATACCACAAAGCTGGATGCACCTGGGAAAAAGTAGGACAATAAATGGTACAGGGTTGAAGCCAACCCAATCTCTAATATTTGATTATATTATTATTATTTTAACAATCACATGACTCTATTGTAAAGGGGTTACCCACAGTGCTGAAATTATATTCAGTCAACTGCAACTTGACGGAGTCTTTTGGCACTGTTTTTTTTACCTTTCAACATTTGGGTCAGTGTGTGCTTTCACTAAGTCCTGTTTTCATCAACCTACCAGCATACAGACAAAGTTATCAATTACCTCAGGAAGGCAGCAGCCAAAGAGCCACATATAAAGCGCTGTTCTCAACAATTGTTGGATTGTCCTCGGGATGCATTGTAATAACTTTGGTCATACTCTGTACAACATCAGGTCAATATTTCAATTTTTTAAAATACTTTTGGGTTATATTCCCATCAGCTTCAGTCGGTACATTGAATGTAGTTTTTTTAATTGCTGCTCTTTGAGAATCTAAATCAAGCAAAACTTTAAACGCAATACAGTCCAAAGCAGTTGGCATAGAAATATAATATATAAGTCCAATTGAATTTCTTGTGTGGAAATGATTTGTTGTTTTTAAGTCCTTTTCTCTTGTTTCTTGTCTTTAAGCTCGGCCGCACTGAGACAGCTGTGAACAACCTGAACCCAGTGTTCGGGGTGAAGTTTCAAGTGGACTACCACTTTGAGGAGATCCAGAAGCTTCGCTTTGCCTTGTTCGATGAGGACAAGTGTGCCACACAGCTCTATGAACATGACTTCCTGGGAGAATTCATTTGTACACTGGGAGTGGTATGAAACAATTTCTCTTTTTCCGTTCAAATTTGGTCCAGTAATAAAAAAGATGACAGAGTATATGTTGCATCAATTAACATTTTGTGACATAAACATTTTTTGTTCCATTTCCAGTTTTGTCTTTAAGCTTTTGGGCGCTATTGCCTGCTTTATCAAGGATACAGTGATGACGAACTATTGTCGGGTGAAGTTGGCATTGCAAGGGCTCCCTTGACCAAAATAAATGGGATTTTTCCATTGGATTTTTGAATGCTGGAGAAAACGAGGGGTTATGTATGGTAACCCTTGTTATATAAACACAGGCGGAGCCCTCTACTGGACTCTATGGGTACTTCCCCTCGATCCTATCATGCAAGCATTCATCCACTGAGACTTTCTAGACATAGCCGGCCCGGGGCGGGCCTACCTGAATGCGCGCGCATCTCACCGCATAAAAGGAGACCTCGCCTCCTTACTGTCATCCTTTACTTCTCTTCAGCAAGCAGCATAGGACAGACAGTGCCCCTGAGTAGAGGGCTCCGCCTGTGTTTATATAACAAGGGTTACCATACGTAACCCCTCATTATATCTCTCACAGGCTCCCGATGTATACACGCGCTGTCGTCCCACAACAACACTGTTCCATCTCACTGTTTCTGACCGGCTTTCTGGTTAGCAGCCGCTGCGCCTCACTCAGCTCTCCCTCGGCCGTAACCGTGGAGAGAAAAGAGGCTGCGGCTGACAGAGCACACCCTGACGCGCTTACCCCGCGGAGGTGTGCTATGACGTGGAAGACTCCCCCCTGCCCTAAAACAGGGGAAAAGAGTCCTCCAGCCCCTATGGGCCCATGTGCGCGTCACGTAAGCGCATTATGCCCGGGGAGGGGGTCAGATGCCCACTGACCCACAGCCCCCCTCCCTCCTCACCAGTCCTGCGTTGCCCCAGCAAGCCCAGACAATGAAAAGGAGCCAGACATGTCCAAGAGATGAAACTTTATGAAGGGGCCTGGCGTTGACCAAGACGCCGCCGTGCATATGTCCTCCACACGTTAAATAAGGCTGTTGACACCATGGCTCGTGTGCACGGACCCCCATGGGGAAGGCTCTCCCCGCCTGTCCGTAGGCATGTGCAATGCACTCGCAGAGCCAGCCTGCCAGGCGTTTCTTGGACAGAGCTTTCCCGGTCACCCCGCCCCCGAAGCACACAAACAGCTGTTCAGTGTGTCTAAGGGCAGCCGTGAGCTCCACATAATATGCCAGCGCACGCACCGGGCAGAGGAGGTGTAATTTAGCCTTCCTCGCCCCACTATGGGGTGGAAGACCCCCCAACTGAATAGCCCTCGACCTGAACGCACTCCTTAGGCTCTTTGGCACAAAGGAGGGGTTCGGTCTGAGTGTCGCCCCGCTCTGGTCACCCCGGATCATTAAACAACTCGGGTGCACCGACAAAGCAGTTAACTCGGACACTCTTTTGGCTGACGTTAAGGCAAGTAGCAATGCTGTCTTCCACGACAGTGCTTTCAGGGAGGAGAGCTCCAGAGGCAGGTCCCACTGCGGGGCGGAGGCACGCACTAGTGGGCGCAGCCTCCTGACTCCCCATAAAAACCGCAACATTAGTGGCTGAGAAAAGGCTGACCTGCTGCCAAATCCCTCATGGCAGGACGAGATGGCTGCTGCATACACTTTCACTGTGGAATGAGCAAGCCCTCTGTCCACCAATAACTGTAAGTACGACAAAATAGATCCCAATTCACAAGATAGGGGCTCTATTTTCCGCTCCTCACATCATCACAGGAATCCCAGCCACTTCGGCCTGTAACAGGCTGTGGTGGATCCCGCTCTAGCTGCCTGGATAGACTGAATAACACTATCAGACAATGGGGTGGCCCAGAGTGGGTAACGCCCCGATTGCACCTGCCTCCTGAGACATCGCCCCCCAAAACTGGGGGAGCGCCCAGGGCTGGCCCACCTTCATCTGTGTCATCTCTGAGTACCACGGCGCCCCCACATGATCCGGCGCTACTAGGATGATTGACAGATGTTCTCGCCTCACTCTCCCCAGGAGTGGGAGAATGAGACAAAACGGTGGAAAGGCGTAAAGCAGCTTCTTTGGCCATGGCTCGTGTGCAAACGCGTCCACCCCCAAGGGCGGGTCGTCGCTCAGAGCCATGGAGAACCACAGTGCGCAGAGGGTGTTGCGCAGAGGGTGTTGCGCAGAGGGTGTTGCGCCGGCTGGCGAACAGATCCACATCTGCTGTCCCGAACCGGGCCCAGCTCCGCTTCACCACCTCCGGGTGAAGCGCCCACTCGCCTGGCAGGGGTCCACCCCTCGACATGAGGTCGGCCCCCTTGTTCTCCAGACCCGGAATGTGGAGGGCTCTCATACCCCTTTCACACCAACGCAACTCCGGTTCAAGCTCCGTGCTAGAGCTTTTCAGGTTCAGAAGCGGTACTTCGGTTTAGCTCCGGCTCTTTTCACACCGCTCAGAGCCCGACTGGTGCTGCCGCTGCTGCATCATGACGTCACAGTTTACGTCGCTGATTTTCTCCCCAACGGAGCTCACCTCACAACAACAACGGGCCGGGGACTGCGTTGCTTTTAATCATACGAAGCCAGATTAAATTAAATAACGACTTCTCCAACCTTATACTTTTCTCCAGAGTGCCGTGGTTCATTGTTTATTAATGTGTTTCAGCGGCATTTACCGACCGCTGCAGTGCTGCTGCTCTTCCACGAGTGTATTCTCCCGTTAGCTCCGGGTTAGCTCACACGGCTCTAAAGTATTCACTGTCTGACTGTCACACAAGCAGCTGATACATATCCCCAGTTCCCCTTAAGTGAATGTGTGTCAGTCTGAATTGACGCTGTTTGGCATCACAACGCTGTTATGAAAGTTTCTCTGGTATAACATGGGTGATGTTAGCATAGCAACCGAAGCTAAACTGACTACTTGCTAAGCAGTTTTCTACAGGCACTTTTTACCGACGTATTTTTCATTATGATTCTACTTGTGATAGTCGGACATGACAACCTGTGCAGCCCATGTATTGATTCCATCCGATAGCTGCTATAATAACAAACAAAACGTCTGCCTGCTCTCCACAATGATCAATAACAGCGAACGGATGGTCAAAGTAAGGTACAAATAAACAGAATCACACGAAGCCTGGTTAGTGTTGCCTGACTTTATAAAGTGTGTTTTTTTTTAACAAGTGTGTGGTTGCGTTCTAGTCACTTTGCTCAGCACTACTGCTTGTTACAACTTTTATTTGCCATACTCGCCTTAACTGTTAGCTCAGGTTAATCTCGCCCCCCTCCGACGTAAGCGTGACGTAAGCGGTTCTTGCTTCTACACGGACAACTTTTTGGTGCTCGAAACGAACCGGATTCCGGAGCTTAGAGGCTGCTCCGCTGCGGTGTGAACAGGAAAACCCGGTGCTTTTCAAGCACCAGAACCGAACCGGCCCCGAAACACCGTTGGTGTGAATGGGGTATCAGAGATAACACCACCTCTGACCATAACCACAATTTCTCCGCTGTGGTCAACAAAGCGGCAGAGCGGACTCCGCCCTGCCTGTTGATATATGCCACTGTGGTGCTGTTGTCGCTCCTGACCATTACATGTCTCCCCTGACATGCAGTAACCCGAGCGGGACCACAACGTGAGCCGCCGCCATGAGACCCAGGGTCTGCATGATAGTCAAAGCTGTCACTGTTGCCCCCTGTCGCAGTCTGCAAACTGCCCGAAGCAAAGATGCCTGTCTGCTCTCTGACAGCGTGGCGCGTAGCCTGCCTGCATCGAGCACCACTCCCAACACATACAGCGCCTGTTGGTGAGGTATGGGGGTGCTTTTCTTCCAATTGATCGCAAAACCCAACTTGGTTAGGTGTAGGATCAACTGGGCTGTATAAAACATTGCCCGTTCCCTGGACCTGGCCATAATTATGAGGTCGTCCAGATAAAAGAAAACTCTCATGCCACGGCCGCGCAGCGGCTGGAGCGCTGTGGCCACACATTTGCTGAACGTGCGTGGGGACAGGGAGTAGCCGAACGGTAGCCTGTTGTACTCGCAGGCCACCCCCTGGAAGGCAAAACGCAAATACTTTCTGTGTTTCGGAACAATCTCAACATGAAAGTAAGCGTCCCTCAGGTCAATGGTTGTAAACCAATCGCCTGGTTACCAGTTACTGGGACTGGCTGCACCAGTCCCAGTAACTGTTTTATAGTTAACATCCGGAATTTTCTGTGTGCAATGTGGAGATTCAGACTGTGAAGATCCAGAATGGGCCTGAATTCGCCTGTCTTTTTGGGAACCAGGAAGTACAGGGAATAATGCCCCCCTCTCTGTCTTGCGTGCACACAGCAGACACTGCCTGTTTTTGCACCAAGGCCTGAACCTCTGCTGAGAGAAAACCCTCGGGATGATAGCTTTGCCTCTCTTATGCCTGTGAACGGAGGAGGGATGCTGCGCTTCAATTCCCCATAACACTGTGTTAGGGGATGTGCAATCAGCTGTGCGGCCCCAGTGATAAAGCTGTGGTACTCTCTGGTGACCCATCCCGCCGCAAAACCCCCGGCGAAGGGAAGCTCTGCCCATGGGGGGATCGACACAGAAAGGGCCGACTCTCTACTGAGGTCCTTGAACGCGCCGCGGCAGCGCGCGCTCCGCCATGATGCTTTCACCCAAACAGTGAAATGCATCAAGCGGAGCTTTTACACTCAGCGTTAAATGTTTCCTAACCCTGCTACGCCGGCCATAATGTCCCTGTACCCGCATAGCGCGGTTTATCACTCTCACCCGCGCATGCGCACTAGCTGCCTCCTTTACTGGAGTTAAAACCTGGGCAGCGAGTGGGGAAACTGTACGGTCAACATTACGTGGCTGTGTGGGTGTGTGGAAAGAAAAGATACTCAGACTGGAATACAAGTTATCTTTTTTATTTTGAAAAGAAGACTTTGATACCAACGGGTCAAACAGGGAGGAGGCGGGATTCACCCTTGCGTCCTGGCCGGAGAAATCACCTCTCTCCGCCGGGACGCTTCCTCCCGCCGCCAGTCAACTCCTGGAGGACGGAGCTCCCCACCCAGTACCCCTTCGCTGCGGCGGATCCGGAGCGGGAGCCGGAGCGGGGGCCGGAGCGGGAGCCCGCCGGGTTCGGTCAGTCTGTCCTCGTGAGGGCCGGTACTGGGCCGGTACCTCGGGATGGACCGCGGTGGCAGAGGGCGCGTCAGGAGCTCTAAGGGCTCTGTACCGGGGCCTCTCTCTCCGCCTTACCACCGCCGGGCGCTCTACCTATTGTTCATTTTTGCGGTATTCCACACAAAGTGAAAGTACACTATTACTGTAATATTTACACTTACCCATGTCCAAATGGATCCTTGTTGTCCCTGTATTCTTCTTCTTCAGAAGAGTCAAAGCCTTCTGGTTCTGATGCTCCATTTTCACGAGTGCTAGCGAAAATAATCTCTAGCGCGTCCGTAACTGTTGTGTTTTTTTTAGCCATTTTCTCAGTCTCTCTCTTGTTTCCTCACATACGTTAACTGATGGGAGACACGTGGTTTAAGTTTTTTTCTTGGTCGGTAGGTCCTTAGTGATTTCTTGAGTGTCCATTTGTCATTTCAGACCAACATAGCTGCAGCTGCCCCGGCCGAGATTTACTTGACCGACATACGATACCAAATCCCACACAGTGTAACGCAAAGTCAAGCTGCTTTGAGCGGCCTTATTGGCTGCTGTGAGTCGTTGGATAAAGTTTCACAATAGGTACCGCTGGAAAGCTACAGTTCCAGCGATTCGGTGGTTATCTGCATGATATTTGTACTCCTTATAATCGAAAAGATCTGATTAAATACGTAGAATATGCGCACTTCGACATGGCGCTGCGAGCGTCGACTCCAGAGGGAAGCCATCATGCTCTTACTTTGAAACCTTGAAATGCGGATGTCGTCCGCATGTCGTCATCAGCAGGCCATCACGTGGTTTCCAAAAATAACCGATTGATACGAGCAGATTTCGGTCGAGACCGGAGGAAAGTTTGTCTCAAAAACGTACTGTGTGTGTAAAAAGACGATCCACAAGCAGAGATTTGAGATCCACAAGCGCATTTTTGGTTGACAAATACAAAATGGATTTACAAATGCCTGATCGAAAGTTGTCAATGTTAAAGAGATATTCACACATTCCTTTTTGTGGGGGAAACTTCTGAAGCAATTGGAATCAGGACTCAAAGGGAGACACGATGGAGAGCTGGAGCTTTGAGGGCAATCACTGACGGTTTATTTGGAGCTTCGGCCGGAGAATTCACAAGACATGTCACGAGCCACGAGTTGACCACACGGTTGAGATGCCACAATCAATTCTGAAGAACCCTCCTGTAGTTCCAGGTTGTAACTAGTTCAGAGTGTAATAATCAACGTTGTGCATAACAAGATAGAATGATAACACCTCTATCAGCTGACGCCAACAGGCAGGAACAGGGAGACAAAACACTGAGAGCACAGCAGCCAAGGTTGCAGGTGCCTGTGCTCAGTCAGGACAGTATGAACTGATAAACTGGGTCAAAGTTATGGGCCTTGGGAAATATTTCCCCAACACTTTTGTTTATTTGTAAATTAATTATAGTATTCACAGATCTTTTTTTTATTTGTGAAAATATTTTGCGTATTTGCAGATCCGTTTTACATTTGCACATTTATTTGTGAGTTTGCAAATCTTTTAAATGCATTTGTGGATGGTGTTTTACATTTACAAATCACATATTTTCACACAAATTATTTTTATGTTCACACAAATATTTATGAGACAAATCTAAGCCCATACATATTAACACAATTTATTCAACTTGATGACGTTTAGTAGTTTGATTTAGCCACTTTTTAGCAACATATTTGTTTAAGACACATAGAAGGTTTGGATGTTCATGAGTGGGGTATTTATTGACATATTTCATGTTGTGGAATAAAACGAAAAAATATCTTAAGCTTGTATCTCCATACTTCAGAGGCCTGTACTACGAAGCTGGATTTTCGCTTAGCCGGCTAACTTCAGGGAAATCTCGGGCTTTCCGGTCCTACGACGCTGGTTCTCTTTTTAGCAGGCTAGATTTCCATGGTAACTTATGCTGAGCGGCAAACCTGCTCCGGAGCAGGTTAGGTGGCAGGCTAAGAGATCAACTCAGTGAAAGCACCGCCTGCTGACCAATCAGAGCTCCGTGTGCGGAGTTTAAAGCGATCAATTCATATTACAGGATAGAGGAAATACAGAAAAACTGCCGTTGCAGGAAAGACGGCCGGCCAAAATCAACTGACTGTGTGAACATGAAAATTAATAGAATATCCCCTCCCATCTTCAGAACAATCTGACTATTATAATATTAGCGTTAAGAAAGCTTACTTAAATATCTGCCACGACATAAGTAACCGGATCAGAGTAACATTAAGTACAGTCCGCGGCACTGTGAGTGCAGACGTCAATGTGTCCCATTATCATTCATATCATATCACATCATAATGTATCATATATTTCCTTATTTGAGTCAGCTTCTTGAGCCGTATCTGGCCGTGCAACACTCACAGTGTCACATACTGTATGCAGAAGTATTATTTTAAGCAACACATTAAGTTGACGAAACACTCGAGTCAAATGTAATTAAAGTCAGATCCACTCGTGTCTTGGATGGGGCAGTGATATCATAAACCTGTTAATGTACGCATTCAAACGCTTTTTCTTTTACCAGCTGTATTCACCTTGCAGGTGCAGCTATGTGGCTTTTATCCTGGATAAAGTGTTTAAGTCATGGATGTTTAAAGTTTAACTTCTTCATATTTGACTAATATTAAAGTTCACTTTTCATTCAGGAAGTATGACGCTGCGCTGTCAGTACGCTTGTCCATGTTTGAGATTGGTCGAATGCTCCAAATACCACCCCTTTCATGTGAACGCGCACCTAACTAGATAGGACACGGCTGGCTTGAGCGATCCACTTGATAACCAGCGTCGTAGTACAGTTTAGCCAGAGCGCGTATGTTTTGGATTGGGCCAACCGGCTAACTCAAACATATCCAGGTTAGGTTGAACCAGCTTCGTAGTACAGGCCTCTGGTATACTGATACAAAAACAATTGTTGTCTTTGAGATGACAGAACTGGAAATGGTAAATTGCAAACTAATTTCCTAGTTATAGTACTCAATTCTGCATCGCTCTATTAAACTCCAGCCAAAATATCCTGATCATATTACACAGCCAGCTATTAATTCCTTAAAGTTGGAAAAACATTTCCACATTTTAAAAAGGGTAAAGTGGGCTAAAGTTGTTAAGTCATTCAAATCCATTTTATACTTTCGTTGTGTCTTCATTTGTCCTTGATCCATTTGTTTCTCTTTAATTATTTACTAGATTGTGTCCAATAAGAAACTTCACAGACCGTTGATCTTAGCCAATGGGAAGCCAGCTGGCAAAGGGTCTATTATGGTAAGAATGAGTACTGTCTCTCTCTGTATTCTAAACTGTCTTTGTGTCTTTCCTTTGACAAATAAACTCTGTGCCGCATTATCAAAGGTAGCTGCACATGTAGTCGCTGTTGTTTACTATAATAGCACGTTTGCTTCTGTTGATGATGATGACAGTGATGTTGTTGAAGCTGCTGTTGTTGTTGTTGTTAGTGATGACTGTTATTGTTGCTGCTGTTACTGCAGATGTTGATGTGAATGTTAATAGTTGCCATTACTTATGTTGTGCTGTAATGTTGTTTTAGATAACAGCTCAGGAGCTGTCTGACAACAGAATCATCACTTTGACCCTGAGTGGGCGTAAACTGGATAAGAAGGTAGGCTCACACACACACACTGGATGAAAATGCAAGCACACACACACACTTGGCATACTGGGCCCACACAGAAAACATGTACAGTAAATGTGTTCACACCCTTTACCTTTGTCCAACTAATGGGCTATCACAAATAAATGGAACAAAAAACGTGCAGGTTTTTATTTAAAATGTATCCACTGTCTTGGACCTATGGAGTAGCTGCTGGTGTTTGGTGAAGGAGCGAATGACAGCATGTCAGAAGCAGCACAGCTTGAATTGTGATTTGAACTAAAGCTGATGTGTGCATGCTGTGCACCCTCTGGTTAAACAACCAGAATAATCAGAAAGCACAGTCATTGCAGGAGCTAAGAGTTTATTTTAATAAAGACAATAATTAATCAAAAATAAAAGATTCCACAGTGTAATATGATGTTTATCTACTTATTTATTTTTTCTGGAGGGGGTCATTGTGCAAAACCACATAATAGCATTTGAGCATATTTTTCAGAGCAACTTCGACATGGTTGATATGTGGGAAATGCAACCATTTAGGATGCGGGCATCAGAATCAGAACCGGTCTGAAATCTCTGTGTTCTTGGAAACCAGGAATAACGCAAAGTAAAAGCCCTGTTTTCTGAGTGAGCACAACAGTGGACAATCGCTGAACAAAAAAAAGATAAATGGCTATGGCATAATGCTCTGTGGTTTGAACATTTTTAGGTATGCTAGTCTAGATTTGCCGTCTACGTTTACTCAAATGGTGGAACGTGTGTGTATGATTGGAGACGAGTATTACCTATCTTGTCCAGAAGAGGGCGAAACCAGTGTCAGTTAAAACTCTGGCTCCCTTTACGCACCTTGGAAAATTCTAGCCCCTGACCCAATACTTTAGCTAATCAACGGAAGTGGAGAGAACATTTAGCTTTAACATTCTGCCAACAATAGGTAAAGGCTCACAGCTGCAGCTATGTTGCTAGCAAGAGCTTCAAATCATAGTATGTCATCTCAATTGGCTTTACAGGCACACAAGATTGCAAAGAAAACACAACAGTAATCTCACACAATTGCTGAATAAATCTAGATCAGGATGATGTTCAAAATGAATAAATATTACCCATGCAGGTCACCTTATATTTTTCAATTCTGAAGTAATCTTTCCCTACCTTATCTTCAAACTAGTATAAGTAGTTTGGCTGAGGAAAGGAGGGATTGGGATACAAATAGGAATGATCAAAAGTACTTTTTAACAAGCTGTCTTTGTGCTGTGCAGGACTTCTTTGGGAAGTCAGACCCCTACCTGGAGTTTCACAAACAGGGAGAAGACGGCACATGGATGCTGGTGCACAGGACAGAGGTGAGTCATCAGTGAGGATTAAACACCTTAATCTGACATTCATTAATGTCAACCATGAGCAGTCATTGTTAGCTAAACCAGGAGCTCATACACTGTAACTTTAGCAATGAGTGTAAAGCACCAAGTGAAGGTAAATCTATTGTGGCTACAACTGCATTATATATCTGCTGCTGTGTAATTTAATGATTGAGTGCACTTTCTTTTCTATGAATTTAGGTTATAAAGAACACTTTAGATCCATCATGGAAACCCTTTACTGTGCCACTCATTTCTCTCTGCAATGGAGATGTGGACAGAAACATCAAGGTTAGTCATCAAGTTCATCTGTTTCAAAGCTGGTGTTGTTTGGATTGTCTACTAGATGGACAGTACGTAGCATGTTTATGCACCGTTAGCAATGCATGAACATTTGATCATGTTGTTTTAAGTTGATATATCATCAAATGCTCTTGTTACAAAACTACACAAAATGAAAAAAGGTATTCAGGACTAAAAAGTGCTATTGTTTGTATAGTAAAATGTAACCAATGATTGGTTGAAGTTAGGAGAACAGAAGAGTTTTTACGATGAGCTAACAACATGGGAGTATGTAAAAGGTGATGGCTTGATGTGATGTGTTCTACACCATGACAGGTCCTGTGTTACGACTATGATAATGACGGAGGCCACGACTTCATAGGAGAGTTTCAAACCACGGCTGCCAAGATGAGCGAAGCCCAGAACTCAGTAGAGGTAACAGATACTTACCAAGGATACAGGATGATACATACACAGGAACAAGTTTGCATACTGATGCTGTTCTGTAAGGCAAGAGCGTGGAAATCAGGGAACTACCTCTTACGCAAATGCTTTGGCTGTGAAGAAGGTACACATCTTTTTTGCAAACCCACAGTTGTAGGTATCACGTTTTGGTCGTCATGGTAACATGTTGTAAATTGCCAAAGGTATCTGGTGGATGGATGTAAAATAGCAATGATGGGGCCCGGAGACCTAGATAACCGGAATGTTATCTATTACCTCTTACTTTTTCTAGTATGTTATTCATGCTATCGTACTGCAACAGAATATGAATTTGTCAGAGAGAGGGATCTGAAATAGCGATATTGCAAAGGTCATGATCTGGATTTACACAGTATTTGCCACAACTCTGCCTATTTACAGTTTAAATGCATTTATTTGCATGTATTAACAACAAAGCAGGAATAATCATGCACATATTTGCATTGCTGCATTCTCATGTTAAGGCCACTGGAGATTCATTCTTTTCACTTTTGCATTTTTGGTCTGCTTTAGATGTAAAGATGCAAGGATCAGAAAAGCGTTCATTCATTAGTAGCTGTGTGTGTGTGTGTGTGTGTGTGTGTGTGTGTGTGTGTGTGTGTGTGTGTGTGTGTGTGTGTGTGTGTGTGTGTGTGTGTGTGTGTGTGTGTGTGTGTGTGTGTGTGTGTGTTTGCATCTGATCTGTTTGTGAGAAAACGTGTGTGTTCATTTGTGAAACTGCATGTGCCAAAGCAGCCTCATGACTTGTTCTCCCACTGAGTCTCTTCATGTGTGGTAATGATGTAGGGACACACACACACACACACACACACACACACACACACACACAAAATAACAAGTTGGGGGATGGAAAAAGAGAGACGTTGTGAAAAGAAGGATGAGAAAATGAGAGGTGCTTTTGAGATGTAAAACCGAATTGAACTGAGCCCTAGTAACACGACAAGGCATTTAGAGCTACCTGTCATATGATCACCAGCTGAATGAAGACATGTGAGTGTGTTTAATGTGAGTGTGTGTTTGTGTGCATGTCTCAAATGCCTCTTTCCATCAAATACATAGCTTAATAATATGTGTTTGTATGATTTACAGTATTTTAGAAAGTCCTTATACTCGTTTTTCTTTAAATGAATTCATAGTGTTTTTAATTAACAATACATTTATGTTTCCTATGTACATGTAGGTTCACATATAAACTGTATACTACACCACTATATAATGGTTTGCTTATAATACATCTCCATGTTTGACTGTCAAGTTGCAGTGACTGTAGGCGGTGTGTGGAATACATGCAGATCCAAGTCACTGCCTCTCAGTCGTCTGTTCATGTCCCCCCCATCTCACTACTCCTTACAACTGTGCTGTCATCTCTACTGTTACCATCATTCCCCCTCCTTCTTGAAATTGTTTCTCAATTCCTTCTCTTCTGATACTGATAGTTTTTGATCTGCATTTCTCTGTATTTCCATCTCTTCAGGTGGAGTTTGACTGCATCAACCCCAAGAAACAGAAGAAGAAGAAGAATTATAAAAACTCAGGCTTTATCATTGTCAAGTCATGTAAGGTGAGGATGGATGGATGGATGGATGGATGGATGGATGATGGATGGATGATGGATGGATGGATGGATGATGGATGGATGGATGATGGATGGATGGATGGATGATGGATGGATGATGGATGGATGATGGATGGATGGATGGATGGATGGATGGATGGATGATGGATGGATGATGGATGGATGGATGGATGGATGGATGATGGATGGATGATGGATGGATGGATGGATGGATGATGGATGGATGATGGATGAATGGATGATGGATGGATGATGGATGGATGATGGATGGATGATGGATGGATGATGGATGGATGGATGATGGATGGATGATGGATGGATGGATGATGGATGGATGGATGGATGGATGGATGATGGATGGATGGATGATGGATGGATGGATGATGGATGGATGGATGGATGGATGGATGATGGATGGATGATGGATGGATGATGGATGGATGATGGATGGATGGATGATGGATGGATGGATGGATGGAGGATGATGGATGGATGATGGATGGATGATGGATGGATGGATGGATGGATGGATGGATGGATGGATGGATGGATGGATGGATGCTGATTAATGGATCAAAGATGGACAAATGGGTGGATGAATGATGAAGAAAGAATGGGTGATGAATGTTTGGTGGATGGATAGATGATGGATGGATGAAGGATAATGGACAAAGGATTGATAGATTCATGTTTTGTGAAAAGACAGGTGGATGGATGTATGGGTGGATGGATGATGATGATGGTTGGGTAGATGGATTGTTGAATCATTAATAATGGTTGATTAGATTTATGAATGGTTTTTGAATTGGTGATTCATGGATCAAGGGATGATTGATGGATAGATTCATGGATGGATGGATACATGGTTAGATAGATGGCTGATTAATTGATGGATGTATTATGGATGAATGGATGACTAGATGGATGGTGATGGTTTGGTGAATGGACAATATGGACGAATAAAGAAATTGGTTGATGAATGATGATGGATGTGTTGATGGATGGATGGGTGGGTGATGTATGGATGATGATTGAATAAACCAAGCTTTAGTTTAGTCTTTTCTTTTAGCAGTATCCACGTTTGTATTACAATCTGAATCTTTGCTAGCTTCCAAATAATGACTGCTGTCAGGTGTCGGTGCAGATAATGTTCACGATAAGACTGATGGTTGGTTTCTCACTGTTAGGCTATAATTAGCCTGCCACTTAGACTTGTGGAATCCCATGTAAAGTACATTTCATATGACATCTCTTTACATCTCCATATGGAGTTAGTTCATCCGCTTTAGGACAGTTTTATTGTTATACCGCTGCAGAATCCACAATAAGGGCATTAAAGCAATCCACTCCTTTCAATTTTTCAATGGACACAAGCATTGCTGCAGTTTCATGCAGTTTAAATTATGTGAGCTGGTTCATTTTCTATTTATCAAAATCTATTAATTGGCTCAGAATAATATCAGACATCGGAAAAATGAATACCGGTTTAAGCCATTTATAACGAGTTTAAGTTGAATTCCAGACTGTCAACAGGATAAGTTTTGTCCATTAAATTCTGAACTGGAAGAACAAATATCACTCACCTGTCAAAAAAACATCTCCCGACTCAATCATGAACATATGATGAAAGCACTGTGGTTCTGATCTGCTGACACACTTCTTACTAGGTGTCCATAACTCCCTTTGAATAACTAATTAGCGCAGTAGCTTTGAATCCCCCAGAGGACACATTAAGCTGGAACACTGAGTCTTAAGGTTCCTATTGGATTGACTTTAAAGCTGTGTGCACATGATGACAAGCTTTCATAATTGATTATTTTCCTTCTACTTCTTTTCATGCACGCAATCATGAACAAGCCTTTGTACAGACATGCACACACACACACACACACATTCACAACCAGCACAAAACGGCTAATACAGTAATTATATTTGTTGGCTGCCCGCAGGGATAAGACTAATGGCAGTAAAATCCATGCTAAGTATTCCTCGTAATTGGAGAGGAAATTTGGTTCAAACAAGATAGTAATTGGCGCTCCATTGGTGGTACCTTCAGTCGGAAAAACTGGGTATTTATTGTCATTTTAGAACAATTATGCTTATGAAAATGTATTTTTACAATGTGCCGTGTTTAGTTGGGTTGTTTACTTCATGTCTGTTGTGTTTGAATAAGTACAATTATTATAATCATCTCTCTTCTTGTTTCTAGAATAACAGTCTAATGATTTTATTGATTTGATCGCATGCATTTTTTAACAGGACCTCTCTCCTTTCATAAATCTATAATCAATTAAATCAATACCCAGTATTTTTAGGTGTTGTTCTTACTTGTTGTTTTGTGACTCTTGTTTCTCTAGATAACAAGAGACTACACTTTCCTGGATTACATTTTGGGAGGATGCCAGCTCATGTTTACGGTGAGTAAATCATAAACATGCCTGTACTTCTGCTTCTGAAACGATGTGGTAATGAGATACATGTTTCCTCATGCCTCGAAAACAGATGGAAAACATTCGGATTTTCTATTTCCATCTCCTGGGGTTACAGTTGGATCACAATCATTTACATAGAGAAAGGAAAAGTGTGAGGGTGGAGTATACACGCGTAATGGGGTATTGTGAACCATTGAAATGAGGGTACTTTTTTGTATTAAATAGGAGGGCAGAAAGGCAACAGGGAAAAAACATGTAAATACCAGAAATGTATATTCTGAAATGGGGAATAGCAAGTAAGTGTGAGATCAGGGTATGGGGATAGAAAGAGAAAGACAGGGAGAGAGTGTATTTTGGTCTCTTGTTAGGAGGAACTCTTGTGTCCCTGGTGATGTCACACCTCTTTGTGTGAGTGAGAAAGACTCCTGTTTTGTAATAGCCAATCTCACACACGCACACACACCAGACACATATTGAATTGTTATATTATTTTTCTCTGTGTTTGTCCAACAAATACAGCTACTGTGCTGATACATCTTTGGACTGTTCAGACTGGCTCACTGTTACTGTGACACCTTCTCACACACAAGTGTATGTATCTGTATAGACTAAGAACAAATGCACACTTACGGAATACAAATAAGAGATACACACACATAAACACCGTCAGCTATACATTCTGTAAACAGTGTCCGGTTTTTTTCTCTTCCCTATCTCTACAACAATTTCCCAGCTCTGTGAGCTAGAACTGGCTCCAGATGCAGCAGATAGAGTAGTTTGTGACATGCTGGAATTTGTGACGTTTCCCTTGAAGTGTGTTCTCGATTTACACCTGCTCCTTGTTTTTATTTTAATATTTGTTCAACTATAGTCTCGTTTGTGGTCTGATAAACAGTACATTAATCAAATGTAGATATATCAAACCCGCAAATAGGAAACTAGTTCACAAGCTACCCAAACAGAAGACGTTTTCTTTTTCAACCAATTAAAGGACAATGAATGTATGCTTCCTGTGATTGTTTGAAAAAGTTTTCACAGCAGCCCTACCTCTAATGATGGAACAATTATAGAACCATCCAAGTCATTATTTTAAAGAACTCTTTAAACTAAACTAAAGCATGTTTTAGCACATTTATTTAAATATGTTTTACGCTTAATTGGATTCATTCAAATATGCAATCTTTGTATTTAGGCAAACAGAAAATTGCGGTGTTGAACTGTGCAGCTATGTGGGTGTAGGAACTACAATTTGAGAGTATTGATATGCTGAAAAGTATTCAATTCAAACCACAATTTCACTGAAACAAATGTAATAATATAACATTTTAAATAAACTTTTATCCCCACTAAATGTATATGTCAAACTCTCTAACTCTCTAAAATTATTGTTTAGCACATAAACACAATAATTACCTATTTCGCAATACTGTAGGATCATGTAAACTCTGCACCCTACAGTAGATACTGAAGTGACCCATATTGGATTTGAATTCCACAGCAAATAAATGTCTTTATTCCTAAATGTCTTCACCATGGGATAATAGGTTCAACCAGGGATTTCTTTGAGACCACTTTTACATTGTGTCTTATAGAAGATTGTGCCGTGAGGGTATTTCTGTCTCAACAGGTCTTAGTCGAGCACAAAAGAGGTGTTATTTGGAGGTGACCTCTCTTGTGTTGTTGTGCAGACATGCTGTCAGTGTCACAGGATGTGCTCTGCTACTCCAGGGGGCAAAAAAGCTACTAGAGCTTCTCTTAAATTCAACACAGTCAATAACAATGACAAGCTTCACTGTCAGAATGTTTTTTTTTACCTCACCCTTATTGTTGAGATTGTTTTTTTTTTTTGTGGCATAATATTACAGCAGAATAAACAACTGAAGGGCTCATTTGGTGGCAGATTATTCAAAAACAGTAAGTCATAGTGAATAATAAATGCGGTTTAATGTATTAATTGCGCATGAGTACTGTAAATTGTAATTTAAAGATTGTAAAAGATATCAGAAAAGATGAATGAATACCTGTTTCATAGTTACAAATTGTGTAACATGTAAGAGACTGGATCTGAAGTACAAAGAAGCATTTCCAAGTAGCTCTGAAGAGAATTTGAAGATGCACGATTTAATTAAATACCAAAACCAAAATGTATTCAAGCAGAAATGCTCATTCAGATTATTGCATGTTTGCAGTGAGCATACTGTACTTTCAATGCAATTGGAACATTTGCCTGTTCTAGTGGTGGTGAGATGAGCAAATTTAAGGCGGAATGGGAACTCTTAAATCCTCACTGCTCCCTCCTAATCTTTTGCCTTTTGTCACAGACCTGCAGCTCTTTCACTGATACACACACACACACACACACACACACACACACACACACACACACACACACACACGCACGCACACACACACGCACGCACACACACACACGCACGCACGCACGCACACACACACACACATGAACACACACACACACACACACACACACACACACACATACACACACACGCACATCTATTGCTGTATTAACACACATACTTCCTCTCTCCTGCTCACAAACTCATTTACATACACATGCACACACACATGTGAGCCCATAATATCCCTGTCACACTCGTGCTTTCACACTTACTGTACATGCAAACTCCCAAACCATGACTTTGGCACTCTCACACACGCACACAAACACAGTATCTTCTTCATACAGACATGCTATCACATGTACCTCTGCACTCTTCAAGCGTGCACCTTCCCTGCACACTGGCTGATTTAGACATGCACAGGCAAACATAATCTCACGCAGACGCTCAGTCACCGATGACATCTTCTCCTCACGTACACACTGCCACATACACCCGCCCTGACACACACACATGCAGAAAGAGCTGTTTTGCGGTGTTCAATCAGACTTAGTATGGCTCTAATCCTAATCTCCAGGAAGGGAAAGTCTCTCCTCTGGGCTCTGGGAGCTGGAGAAGAGAGCAACGTTTCTCTGTTATACACTCCAATACAAAGAGACAGCCTGCTACTGCTGATGGGCTCTGTGAAAGACTTATTTCAAATGAATTACGCTATTATTTATATCTTATGTTTGATATCATTGAGAACTGTGTAGAGCGTAGTGCCCCAGTCCCTGTGGATTCATGGAGAAAAAATGTTTTTCTTGAATGAGAGCACAAACAAGCATCTTCACAGCTCAAGATGATGACAGATGATATCAGTAAAGCTGGTTTTTTTCCTTCAATTTCAGCCTGCTCTTTACAGTAGTCTATGACATTTTTTTGATATTATATGTCATTCTCACATCTTACATCCAGGCTTTATCATATTGTCCAATGGATTAGCGCCGTGCAATATTGGCTAAATATGAGACTGTCATATATTTCTTCATTCCCAAAGCCTAACAATATCTGATGGTACTTCACATTTCTGTTAAATTACAAAATTCCATCTCAAACCAGAGGTGTGAGGGTTGAAATATATGAGTTTTTAGGATAATGTACATTTTTGGATCCAGTGTTTTTGGAACTTGATCGATGCAAGGAAATTAAAGTCAGGATATCTCAGCCTCATATGAATGATTGTGATCATTCTTTTTTTTTATGTGTCTCTTGTGAGTCCCTGGTTTTCAAGGATTCAAGGATAAAATACAAATTCACGCCACCTAACACAGGGTTGCACAACAAAATGCAGTTGTAATCAATTTACACAAGAAAGCAAAAGAAAAAAATACAGTGGATACCTGAGGTACAGAAAAAACAAGTGATTTGCATTAAACTTGGGCGAAGGGTGTAGCATGGGCCAAGAAAGAACCTGTAATATCCTGAATTACGAGGAGGGTGCAAGGTCACCATTGGCCTTGGTGGAGGTAGTTGAATTTGCATTATGTGGAATAAACACAAATGTTAGAAAAACACTGAACAGATATCATGGCTAACATATTAACATAAAAACATTAGGGCAACATTTGCCATCAACTTTGACGTTAAAGCAACAGCAATATAAACAAAATGTCCTGGTAAATACACATCTGAGTTGACAAATATGACATGTGGGGTACCTCAAGGCTCCATCTTGGGGCCTCTTCTCTTTAACATCTACATGCTACCACTGGCTCAGATAATGAAAAACAACAAAATAAGTTACCATAGCTATGCGGATGACACACAAATTTACGTAACAATTTCACCAGGAGATTATGCTCCAATTCAAACACTGAGTAAGTGCATTAAACAAATCAATGACTGGATGTGTCAGAACTTTCTCCAATTAAACAAAGATAAAACTGAGGTAATGGTTTTTGGAGCCAAGGCAGAACGTATAAAAGTTAGCGCTGAGCTTCAGTCTGCAATGTTCAAAACAACAGATGAAGCCAGAAATCTAGGTGTAGTCATGGACTCTGACCTGAGTTTCAACAGTCACATTAAAACAGTTACTAAATCAGCCTACAATCACCTAAAGAACATATCTAGGATTAAAGGACTAATGTCACAGCAGGATTTGGAAAAACTTGTCCATGCTTTTATCTTCAGTAGACTCGACTACTGCAATGGTGTCTTTACAGGCCTCACTAAAAAATCTATTAGAAAGCTGCAGCTGATTCAGAACGCCGCTGCTCGAGTCCTCACTAACACTAAGAAAGTGGATCACATCACTCCTGTTCTGAAGTCTTTACACTGGCTTCCTGTGTGTCAAAGAATAGATTTCAAAATATTGTTACTGGTTTATAAAGCTTTGAATGGTTTAGGCCCAAAATACATGTCTGACCTACTGCTAAATTATGAACCATCCAGAACCCTCAGGTCTTCAGGGACGGGTCAGCTTTCTGTCCCCAGAGTCAGAACTAAACATGGTAAAGCAGCATTCAGTTATTATGCTCCGAATATCTGGAACAAACTCCCAGAAACCTGCAGGTCCGCTGCAACTCTTACTACTTTTAAATCCAGGCTGAAGACTTTTCTTTTTGCCGCTGCTTTTAATTGAACTATTCACATCTTAAACTGCACTGTAACTTTTAACTTTTATCCATGTATTTTTTCTTTTAATGTTTATTTTATTATCTTTCCTTTTTAAGGACTGATTTTAAATGCCATTTTTAAAATGTCTTCCATTTTTGTAAAGCACTTTGAATTACCTTGTGTTGAAAGGTGCTATATAAATAAACTTGCCTTGCCTTGCCTTGCCTTGCCTCCTCTTGTTCCATTGGAGTATTGTGCTCTGTCCTGCAGTTGCTTAGCTTTATCTGAAGATATTGGCACAACATTCTTTATCCATCATTGCTGGGTTGGCCTGATTCTTATTTTATTTTATTTTCCTGCGACCAGACATTAGCCAGAAGCAGACCAGGTAGTAGAATAGCCTTAGGTCCTATCTGGGTTAACCTAGCTCCCTTCGCTACTGTCCTCCAGGGTCCGTCACTTTTGGATAAGTATCTATTTTACTTGCGATTCGTTAATATTACATTAACAGTGACACTTTAAACATCCAATACACTGCAGGAAAATAGGTCTGTCTCAATACAACCCTGTTTCAGATAAAGTCATGTTTCTATGAACGGTTAAGTCATCTTAAGTCCACAAGAATGTATGGTTATACCGCATATCATTGGATATGAAACATCCCTATCTACTGTGAGCCTTCCACCAAAGTATGCTTGAAACGGCTGGGATTTCTATTGTTTTGTTATTTAAAACCTGCCAGAACAAATATCATTAGACCCTAAATAGACTATCCCGCAGTAAAGGTCTTGCAGTGGACAGCAGCTCTTATTTGTCACTTGGAACACCTTAGACTGAAACACAGAGTAACTCCAGAAGATGTTCACACTCTCAACCATCCGAATTCCCTCCATCCATCACTCTGGCGGTTTAACTGCAAATGAGTCGGAGAGGTCCTGGCGTGAGAATAGGCTGATACTCGACAAGGCACAGCTGAGAAACCTCCGACGTGAATGTCAGCATGTCAATTATTTGACAGTAATGTGGCACTAGTAGATCCTTCTCATTTATTTCAGTCACATTGATGCTCTGAAATATACAGTAATAAGATGTTGCTCTGTCTCCCCTGTTTATTTTAATTCTGTGCACTTCCTTGTTGAAACTGTGGGTGTGTCATGTTGTGTTTAATCTACATGTGTGTTAGCAATTACTAAAAGCTCCGGGCAAGAAATAAGTTAGAAACATGTATGAACTTGGAGGATTCCACTAAAGTTAAACAGGAGAACAATGCAAAAGCGTACTTTCCTCCATGAGTAAATACATCAATTGGCAAACAAAAGTTTACCACATGGCTGTTCATTAGTATACATGATGATAGTTATTTAAAAAAATTGAGAAATGCACCATGATTGAACGACTATAGGAAAACAGCCATAAAGTGCTATTTAGTCATTTCTGTATTGTAATAGATTGTCCAATTTCTACTGTAATCCACAATAATTCTAATTTTTCTTCACAAAAGTTTGACTTTTTGGCTGCAACTAACAATTGCTTTGATTGTGAAAGATTTTCTCAATTCACAAAGCAATAATTTGCACTCTAAAAAAAACAAGAAATGCTCATTACGCTATCTTAGACATCCATTTCATTAACTATGCGTTAATCGTCTTATTGTGGCAGCTTGGTTTGACTTTTAGATTTCGATCGTGCGCTATACTTGTCATGTTATTGCAATTACTTGGTTTGCCATAGAGTTAGGCAACATGCAATACACTCCGAAACCCTTCATCTATTATGTTGTTTAATTTACAAAAACTAGCTGTGATGACAGAGAAATGTCATATTTCTTTATCACCCTGAACTACTGTAAGAGTATGCTACTTCAGTCTTCACACATACTGTATGCATTTTCAGGAGCACCATACATGCTAAAACTTACGGAAATACGCAGCAGCACCCTTATTATGTCCCCCCACATCTCTATTTCTGTCACTCTTGCTGTCCCTGCTGCTCTCTATGCCCTAACCTCTCTTCCATTCTTTACCTCATTTGCCCAATATCCTAACACATCTAGCACCTTTTTTGTCTCTTCCTGCTTCTCTACTTTCTCGGTTGTTGTCCTCCATTGAACCAGAACATTGTCGTTTCATAACACTCCAAACTAAGAGAGAAAGGAGATGGTGTAGACCAGGGGTGCCCAGTACGTCGATCGCAAAGGTAGTGTGGGTAGATCGCATGGCATTGAAAAAAAAATAATAATAAAATAGTTAGCCTATCATCCATCCTTACTATGGCATTTGCCACTAGATTGACGTACAGGTAAGCCAGTCTGATATCTCATATTTTCTAACACGCCGTTCACCACGCATGCGCGGTCAACCGCGCCAGCTGCAAATCACCAGCAAGCTGATTACCTAGTTAGCCTTCCAATTTATACAATTCTACTAAAGAAAGGGTATAAAATTGACGAAATGACCAAAAATGTACTGAGTTGTATTGTGCCATACGGGTTCATGCAGTGATACAAGGTACACCAACATACAATATGTATACTCTTATATATATATATAAATATATGTTTAGCATTTTTAATGTAGGTAGATCATTTTGACTTGGTCATTTTAAAAGTAGCTCCCAAGCTGAAAAAGTGTGTGCACCCCTGGTTTAGACAGATAGGAGGGGGGCGGAGTTTCTGGGTCGGGTCATTGTCAGCTCACAGATCGTCATTTATCGCCGGAGGAAAAACTTGTCACTCCTAATCTCATATTATGTTAGGCTTTGTGTGTGTGTGCGTGCGTGCGTGCGTGCGTGCGTGTGTGTGTGTGTGAGCCTTTTTATATTGGGTACATGTGTTTGAAGCATCTGTGTGTTCATATTTGTATATACTCTTTCAGCGCAGTATCACCCTGTGGTCATATGTGTTAAAAATATGCTTCTGTGTGGTTTCAGGGACATTATAAGCCTAGATTGGTCTTTTTGGCCACAGCTGGAAAGGTTGCATTCTCAAAAATAAGGAAATTCTCATTGAGTCTTTGCTCTGTGACCGTGAAGTTTTGAAATAACAATGTATGATGAATTAGGAAAACTATTCAGTGGGCAAATGTCTATTGTTAGTCAGGTTAAATGTCAAAATTCTATTTACAAGGTTGACAGGTATATTGATAAATTGTATTAATGAAGTGGATGCAGCGACAGTGACGTCACCGTTTGGTTTGTGCATTAACGTTGGTAGCCTCAAGTTAGGCATTTTGGCCACCGCCATTTTGTTTTTTGGAACCAGAAATGACCATGTTTGGGCAAGATGGTGGAGCTATGTACAAATGAGACTGAACAAGACATTTTGCTGAAAACAAACCCACTGTGAAAGGTTCAAAATTGTACACAAAACACCAAACCGGACAACATTGTTTTAACAACCTTTCACAAGGTATCCCAAAAGCATTTGCTAAATTAAACAAGACTTGAAACCAGCAATTGAGTCCATAAACTAATGTTTAAGGTAGTAAATTAAGTCAGAAGTAGGGTCATTTTCTTATAATTTATAAAATCGGACTGATTTTCAGATTTTGAGTCAGGTTTAAGGCATTTTACATTAACTACACTTTCCAGTACTAAGTGGTTGCTACTCTGGTATTTGATAAGGTTCAAAGGCTGCACTGACATATCATGGTAGACCATTTTTTCATACAAAAAAGTGATAGCATGGATTGTGGACTTCAGAAATCAATCACAATATTGAATAAATCATGCTAATTGGCTCTCAAACCAGCTATGTATGCGATGTGTTTTCCTCAAAATCCGACTGTCAACGTCCTTTAACTCCAAAATAATGAGATGTTTCAGCTCAGACACTGTTTTGAAAACTTACCAGCAACTCCAGTTCTTATTTTCTTTAAACTTTCAGACCTTTACTTCAAATTGTCTAATGAATGGCATAAATAAATAAAAGAAAGGATCACTGAGCCCTACATGAGGAAAACGGGCAGTTTTAAACTCTTAAAAAGTTCTAAAACCAGAGGTTATTTGGAAGACGGAAAACTCTACAATTTGTGAATCCAGAGGCTAAGACCGTTAGTTATAGTTATATAGTTTAACATAAAAGTGCTTACTGATCCTTTAAAGGTAGGGTAGGTAAGTTTGAGAAACCGGCTCGAGATACACTTTTTGTTATATTCCATGGAATGCTCTTAACATCCCGATAGCAATGAATATCTTAAGTGCTTTGACAAAAAATCCATACAAAAATGTCATCTGTGGAAGCCGTAGTACTGTAAAAAGCACGACCAATCATTTTAGCCGGCCCGTCTAAAATAACTGGATGGCCTACCTGCCTGTCAGCCTTCCATCTGTGCACAAACTTATCTCGTGCCCTCATTGGTCATGTGCGCGTTTGTGTGTGTTGGAGGAGGGGCTCTATAAGGAAGTGGCAGATTTTCTCCGGTTGTGTATTTTCAAATTCTAGCGATCTCGAGCCGGTTTCTCAAACTTACCTACCCCACCTTTAATAGAGAAACACATCAAACCATTAGTTGCTCCATCTAAGTGAAGCAGCATGTTTCACATTGAGAGCTATCATTAAATTCCTCATCCAACAAATAGTTGTAGACAGTGGAGTTGAAATGCATAACAGTATTAAAAATCACAGCTTCTGTAGTAACTAGATGAACCAATTTACCCTTTATATTCCCATCAGAATATACTGCACAGCAAGGAATCAATAAAACAGACATTTGTATTTTATGTCAAAAGAGATTCAACCATTCCTGTTTGTTTGCTGTTGCTGCTGCTGCCTCATTTATTCACCTGTCATTGTGCTATAGTAGGTGATTCTGCTTTGTTAACTTATTGGAGAAGGTAATAAAGGAAACAGATAACAACCCTCAACAATTAACTTATCCTGAGCTCATCAGAACATCCCTAATGTAAAAACACTGCAGCTTTTCTAAAATGACCTCTTATATGTCACTTCTTTGTATTTCTTTAGGTTGGAATAGACTTTACAGCATCTAATGGGAACCCTCGAGAGCCGTCCTCCCTCCACTACATTAACCCACTTGGCAGCAACGAGTATCTCGCTGCCATTTTAGCTGTGGGACAAATTATACAGGACTATGATACGTGAGTTTTTTTGATCAGATACAGAGCTACAGTTATCCTAATGTAAAGTAGGTATAATATGTAATAGTATATATCAGCCATATCGTTACAATATGTTTTTGTTGGCTTTGTTATTGTTTTTTTTTATTTGTATTTCAAATAGGATATATGGATATTTAGCAGGAATGGCACCTTAAGTGCCTTTAGACAAACACTGCTTCAAAACTGCTATATTAAGTATTTTAACTGGTTTTACACACCTTGATTGTTTGCTTTGGACCACCCAAAGTCTAAAAGCATGAGAGGAGATTGGCCTGGGGCCATATGAGAAAGACGCTTATGATGCTGTGTCTCTACAAAGACCAGAGTGACGGATTTTTGCAAACTTAACTCTGTACTGTCGTCACTGTGGGTTTTGTAGTAACAATTCAACTTGTTCATCTGAAGCCCATCATACCCAAGAACCACTCTTCTTTGTATCCTGCCCTTCAGAAAGCAGGTGCTTCTTCTCTTAGTGAAAAGCCATTTTGCTAAATTGCTTATTTATCCTGCTGGTTCCTCTTTAAATATACTTGAATTAGATTCTTAATAACAGGATTCTGTTTGCTGTAAATCCAGTTTATTGAATTTGAATGAAAAAACAAACAAGCAGGTTTAACTAATGTTCAAAATCTGTTGTCATGGTTTCCTCCTCAGCGACAAAATGTTTCCTGCTCTGGGATTTGGAGCCCAACTCGCACCAGACTGGAAGGTATGTGTGTGTGTGTGTTTCTTGGTGTTGTTGTTATTGTAGTTTGTGTGTGTATGTGTGATACATGTACAACAGTATGTGTGTATGCACAACAAAGGGAGGAGGGTTTACATGCAGACTTGCAGTTCAAACATGCCTATACAGTATAATACATGTATTTGACACACACACACACACACACACACACACACACACACACACACACACACACACACACACACAGGAGATAAAACTGTTAGCAATATTATACATGCATATTCACATGATTACACATACGCAACTGTCAACCCATCTGTGTTGCCATGGTACTGAGCTGATGAAAAGGACAAAGAAAAGAGAGCCGTTCAGAGAGCGGGAGGGAGGGAAAAAGTGTGGGAGAAACGGACAGTATTTTTCAACAATATTTTAAAGTGTAATGAAGAAGCAATATCATGGTCTGTGTTTCTCGTCTACTACAGGTGTCACATGAATTTGCCATCAACTTTGACCCTACAAACCCCTTCTGTTCAGGTGAGTAACTGTGTAGTCTCACACTCCATCCATGACCATGCTGCTGATTTAAATCATGCATTGGTTTTTATTTTCTCAAATGGATCCTTTGAGTCTGATTGTCTTCTTGAAGGACAGAGGGTGTCATATTGGTATGCTGTATAAACTGTAAAGCCCCCTGAGACAGATGTTATATTTGTGATATTGGGCTATATAAATAAACTTTGATTGATTGACTGATACAAATGTCGACATATATAGCATAGCACAATAGTATTAGCTGAAAACACAGTCGCTAAGCTATGCTTATAGGTTGTAATGGTAAATGGACTGTACTTATATAGCGCTTTATCAGGTCTTATCGACCCCTCAAAGCGCTTTACATATCGTTCACCCCTTCACACCTCATTCACACAGAGCAGCACATTCACAAACCGTTTGATCGGGAGCAACTCAGGGTTAAGTATCTTGCCCAAGGATACATCGACATGTTGACTGCACGGGCTGGTTGAAAGACGACCACACTCCCCCGCAGCCACAGTCACTGTAAACTTCTAAAATTGAAATGTTCAAGTGATTCAAGTGACACTAGAATATAATCCCATTTCCTCTTTTAAAATGTTAATATGAGGCTTTAATGCCATTGTGATGTTGTATAATATTAAAAAAAAGAACATTGATATATACAGATAAAGAGCTTAATATATAAACATCACTGCAACAGTGTTCTTCAGCTTTACTAGAATGGGTGACAAGTAGTAAAAAAAAGATAGCATGTGACAGGAGCAGGTGCTCCTGTCACATGCTATCTTTGAGTAAATAACAACTTCACACTTCACCTACACTTTCTACACAAGACGTTTCTCTAAATTGGCAATATGAATGCTATGCTACCAAACAGTTGCTCCTGACCAAAGCAGATATGATGTGGAGCGGTGCATTCACATTTATTCATTCACAGCTTCTCTGCTGTTGAAGACTATAAATACATTCATTGTGATTGGTAACAGACATTCATGGTCCTCAGATGATACATTCTAATGATTTTGGTATTATCCTGAATCTTCTCTAGCGCCACAATGAGGTTGTTATGTGGTTCTGTAGGATGGATGGATAAGAAATGTAGTTCCCACATTCATGCTCCCGTCAGAATCATTGTAAATGCTTTAATGAGCGCCTGATATTCCATTTAGCATCCTCATCAGCTCAATATTTATATATTATAATATATATATAGATATATTTGTAATCTCCTTCCCTTAGAATATATTTGTAATTCGTCAGTACTTTACATTTTGTTTTAATATTTTTGCAGGAGGTTATGCTTAATAAAAAAAATGTCAAAACATATTTGTGCTTACATATTTGTGTGTACTCCACAAATGCACTTTCTTTGTAAGGTTAGCAAACTATGACACTACAGCTCATATTTTCTTGGAAAGAGTAATTTAGCCTAAAGTCCAATGAAAAGTTCCAGGACAAAAAATAAAACCTGATTTAGAGTAGAGCAGTGATAAAGTGCTGCTATAGTTGATACAGACAACATTCTAGGTACCTAACAAGTGATCATATTTTAGCAAAAAGTCATTGTTTGTTTCCTTTAATTGATATGCCATATTTTGAATGTCGTAAAACAAAAAGCCATGCAGGTGATTGAGAAAGAAGGAGAGTGTTCAACAAAAGACCTCATTCACACTTCTAATTGTCTGGTTGGTTAAGCTGATTGGAGTCGAGAAAGCTGACGAGAAACAATCATCGTCAGCTTCTGGCCCTTGGTTAAAATGTCTCTCCATATGGAAGTATAAAGAGAGTTGGATACAGCGTTGGAGGCCCTGTTATTTACTATGAAGGTTGCTCAGTAGAGCATGAAGCCAAAAGGACCTGACTCTCGAAAACAAAAACACCTGGATCTCCTGGCGATCCTACTCATCCATGGGGCCAATACAGCATGCACACTTTCAAGTTCTGTAAGCCTCTCTCCTGCCATCACCACTCCTCAAACCATTAATGTTCATTGAAACTCAAATACATTTTGTATTTCTCTCCATCTAGGTGTGGAGGGTATTGCACAGGCTTACTCTGCCTGTCTTCCTCACATTCGCTTTTACGGCCCAACCAACTTTGCTCCAATCATCAACCATGTGGCCCGTTTTGCTGCCCAGGCACTTCAACAAGAAAAAGCAGCGGTATGTGATAACAACTAACCTGTTTGTCCACCATTCTATGTTTTAATTACTTTAAAGTTGACCGCCTCAACAAAAAGTATTCCAGTTTCCAAAACAACCAGTATCCACTAAAATGCCATGCCTTATCAAAACCAGCCATGTATCACAATCTGTCAGAACTCTCTTCTGAACCATATGAACCATCATAATGCAACGTTTTATTCCTCTGAGTCACTCCTTTTTCTCACAAACACTGCTTTTCTCTTCATTTTCTCTATAGTGCTTTCAACCTCTCTCTCTCTCCCTTTCTCGCTCCTTGAGCTAGGGGCGGCCCCGCTACCTGCTATACTTTTAAAGATAAGAAGATGATGTTGAACAGAACATGCCATGATATAAGACAGCATCAGAGGGATTGTGAACCAGCATGTGTGCTCATAAATTAGTGGTCTGCATGTCAACGGGACATATCTTTTACTTATCTTGTAGAGGGGCTGTATGTCAGAGTAAGACCCATAATATCCCCCAAAACAAGATATTAAGTTTATCTTTGTCATCCATGCTGTGCTGGTATTTACCTGGAAAGCTGTGACGTAACAACCCCCATCACCTCCTACTCACACTGCCTCATAGTGATAAGCAAATATTGAAAAACCACAATTGGACGATATGAAAATAGAAACTGTCACCCAACCCTAAAGAGTGCTTCATTTTCTCGGGAAATCAATTTGGCCGCACATATCCTGCCAATATATGCACAGGTCATGACCCAAATAGTAGGAATCCTCTGGGCAGCATGGTGATCTGCTATATAGATTTTTAGAAGAGTATTATGTTAAAGGAGACAATTTGGCATACAGTAAGGGTTGCAAAAGGTCAACGGTTAGGTTTGGTTCGGTTTCTTATCACTATTTAAAGAGGGTTGCATGGATGAAGTAGCATCCCAAGGGCTCGTTCGAAAATAACCCAATGTGAATTTTTCAATTGATTTGGGATTTGAGCAGCAAATAACTCTATGGAAAACAAAAGTTTATGATTTACCGATTTTGTTTAGAAGAATATTCTCCAAATATTAACACTGCTTTTTATCAAAAAAGTGTTGGTGTTGTTGCAGTGTTTAAGGCTTTATTCAGTTTTGCATTTTTTAGCAAGATGAGCACCTAAGGGCAGTGGCGCCAGCAGGGGGGGGGGGCAGGGGGGGCCATGGCCACCCTGATATATTTGTTGGCCCCCCCACTGGCCACCCCACCACACACACTGCCTCGCCAGTCACGTATGCGTAGTAGTTTATCTGATATTTAACAACAAATACACAGCCAGCGAGTCGCTTGATTTGAGCTTCCAACGCTCATACTGCAGCCCCTCCCTCTCCCACTGCTACCATGGTAACACTCTGATACTCGCGCGCACCACTCTGAGATTCGCGGGCACAGACAGCAGCAGGTTGCAGCAAAACGTGTGTTTCTTTCTACTGACTGGACTGGAGTTGACAAAAATCCACCAGACTTCTAGAAGGTAAATCGTATACGTTCGTTGTTAATGAAAAGGAGCTATGGAAGTACTTATTCATAAATCACCTAACACATGTATACATAACACAAAACAAGGTTCTTTTAAATGTTGTTTGAAGTTAAATGTTAACTATCCGTAGTATATTCACTCCAGATGAATAGTATCAGAAAATGTGGAATCCTAGAATCTGGAGAATCACAGAACGACCGGTCGCTCTGCTCGGTTCGCTCTGCTCGGTTCGCTCTGCTCGGTTCGCTCACGGCCGGCACCGCCCTTAATGTGTTTTTAAACGGCATCATTGAAGTTGTGCTGACACCCCCTAAGTAAAATGACTTCCCGCGGCTATGTGCCACCCCAAGATTTTCACCCTTATGAAAAATGTCTGGAGGCGCCACTGCCTAAGGGCAGCCATTTCCAGTCTGTCTGTACATGCCATGGTGTGTGTGCGTGTGTCACATGTGCATGTTTGTTACTTCCCTTATCCCCTCCAGTTTTGGGGAAGGTAATAGTATGAAATATCAGACGTGCTCCATCTTGATGGATAAGATTTTATCCACCATCAGGTTAACCTTTTATTTTATTTTAACAAAATGTTTCATCAGCTGTTCAGTGTATTTCCATGGAAACTGGAACAGATATATTGTGGATGAATTCATCAAGATGAATTGAAATGTTTTTGATGATCCCCTGACTTTTCCACTAGTGATGCCATCAGTTCATAATGTCGATATGCGTAAAGACCAATACATTGTATATTTGCTACCTTTCTCAGCGCTCTCAAACAACTTTTAAGGGTTTGCTTTGTCTTTTAACTGATATCCTCTCCTTCATCTTCTGATATCTCACTTACTTGGCATCTTAAGCCTATCTGGTCCAATTTTCTTTCATTATTTGGAGGTTCCCATTGTGTACTCTCACTGGCCTATTTGCCTTGTCCAGTGATGTTTTCCGTTGTTCCTTTATCCCTGCTCTATGGTGGTTTGCTTCCCAAATTCCTGTGTTTCTGTGTTATGGGAAGTCATCAACTACAAACTACTTTACCTTCAAGGCACTGGGACACCACTCTCATTTCTTCTTTGCCTTTGTAGAGGTCCTATGTCTCTCTTAATCCTTCACATTCCCACCCAGACAAAGGTTTGATCATATCATCCTATAGTACATTTCACCAAGAAACAGAAACATACCACTAAATAATTGAATTGACTCACCAGTAGTAGAGGAGCAGTCTGCAGTGAGTGCCTGTCAGGGCACTCACTGCAGACTTTGTAATCATAATGTATTTACTCAGATGGCACAAACAAGTGTGTACATCTGTTGGCTCTGACTGCTGTCATGTTGACCGGGGAGTGCCAGGGAGGACGGTGACAGACTGGAGTGACAACTGCTGTAATCTCTTCTTCCATCTCACACCTCTTCTCAACCCAATTTCTCACATTTTGAAAGTCTCACAGCTAAATAGCATGATAGGGAAGCACGCTGCATTACATTTTCTCCTTTTATTGAGTTACTTAATGCTACGTTTTTCTCCTCTCCAACTGGGGTTGTCTCTTTTATGCTATTGGTGCTACAGCAGGGGTTAAATTGGGATTTGATATGTGGGAGGGCTCTGTTTGAAGACATTTTTACAAATATCCAACCTTCAAATTTGTATTTTAAATCAACATCGCTCAGCACACTTGCTGAAGAACATTTGTGTGGTAATCTCAGTTCATTTGTAGGGCTGCGCTGTAAACTATTTAATTATGACCGATCATAACTCAGCTTTATGCACACACATACATTTAGCATGGTTTAGGAAATGGGCTCCGTGTTACAAGACGGGTCGGGCCGTTTGGCGGCTCTCTCTTTGTACCAACAAGTCCTCCAACTCATACGACCAAATAGGTCGATTGTTCAGCAGCTTATTACGACCTATAGTCACATTTTAAAGTTTAGCACCTCTAGTGGTCGTATAAGAAACAACAATTTGCGGCAATTGCAAACGCTCCGGAGGGTCGTATATTTACAAATAACCCTCTCTGGAAAATCCTAAATTGTAGAATAGTTTGACCATTGAAATGCTTTTTGATTAGATTTCTAGCGAAAAATGTATATTGTACTTTTAGAATCCACGTCCAGTGGATGTGTAGGATCTATAGTTTGATAGATATTACGAAGATTATTTGAGGTCTCGCCAGGAGAACGTGTATGTCTTTCCCCCTATGTAAAGTTAGCGTCTACCCATAATCCTCAGCTATCGTTGAAGCTCGGTGATTGGATGTTTTAGCCGCAATGCACGTTGGGATATGGTGTTTATGCGATGTGAAATCCGAAAACATAAACAAATAAATAATAATAATACTTTATTCCGAGTGTGCTTGCTTTTTTCTTTGAAAGTCATCACATAACGGCATTGTAATACACAGTTCGGCTGTATTAAATATGACAAACTGCCGTAGTTCTCTATTTATAGAGCCCTGATTAGAAGACCTTTGGACAAACTGGAAGAAATGCCGCCGAAACTGAATACTTGACGTGGATCATAAATATTATATAATTAAACAACATCTTCAATTTCTCTTCACATAATACGTCTCCTTGCAGTATCAATAGTAATTCAGCTGACTTCTATATTTGATCCAATTGGTAGATAGGTTATAGGTTATAGGTTATAGGTTTACACCATAACGGTGCACAGCTGATAGAAAGGGACTTGTAGTTTTTAAAGATATTACTGATATAGTCAGGGGTTTTGGGTGATAGGAGACACACCTATGGAATCAGAATTTCAATAGCTTACCATTAAATGACGGATATACCTCAGATATTAATGTGTAGAACTACAATATGTGAAATAATATAGCAATATCCTGTAAAATTATGTGAAAACATGAATAAAACTACACATCTTCAGATGTTATACACTAATAATACAAAGTTATTTGTAACATCTTCATAAAGTATAATTTAATGTGTTAACACTGTAAATTTGACAGTTTTTTAACCCGCACCGCCTAGTGGTTAAAGCACGTTATTGCATTGCATTTTTTTTAATGTTATATTTGATGAAAACATTTAAATATTAAGAGTAGCATACATACAAAATAGGGGGAAAGTAGAAGGTCAATGATAGAAATATAGAATAGAAAATATCAAGAAGATACTGTAAGTGATCTCTACAATAAAACAGTTTAGTGCAGGACGTCCAAAGATATTAATAGGAGGATGTGCAAAACAGACAAAATAAGGCTGTATTTAAACATTAAAGAATGCTTTAATGTCTTCTTTTGAATAAGAAAAAAACGTTTGGGGTATCTACAGATAAATATTAAGCCTGACAAAGTACTTAACGTCTAATATATTGCATAGTTTATTTTGGCACTTGACAATCACCTTCACTGAATTTTACTCGGGTGTAACTAAAGTCTAAGGGTTGTATATATTTCACATCATTAATCAGAATCTGCAAAGTAACTCAAATACATTTAGTGGAGTAAAAATACCAGGTTACCCTCTGACTTGTAGTGGAGTAG